ACGTGCTGGCGTGTGGGCTGGGCAGGATCCCATTGGTCCCAGCGCCGGGATTGGTGGCTGCGGTGGTGGCCGTGGTCCACCCTTGTTGTCCTGTGAGCAGGCAGGGTGATGTGCAGCCAGCACCAGCCCTGTGCTGTTGCTTGTCCCCATGAGTGCTCAGGGCCACTTTGCCGACCCTCCAGCCTCATCGATGCACAGCCGCCGTCCCTCTGGCTGGAGAATGGCAACCTCAACCGGCTGTAATCTGTAAGGCAGGCATGCAGGCTGCTCCGTGACTGCCCAGCCTCTGGGGGGATGCTGGAATAAACCCGCCCCATCATCACCTCTGGGAGACCCTCATGTCCAATCCTGCACCCAGGCTGAGAGCAGAGATGGAGGTCATCAAAGACACCCCCACACACACTGCTTAGCACCCAGTTGTGATCCTTCCTGCTGCTCTCATCCTGCACAAGCTGGCAGGGACCCCCCCGGCTCTGCCAGTCGTGGAGTGAGCCCCACAGCAGAGGGGGAGCATATGGCAAGAAAAAGGGGTGGTCACAGGGTGAAGGGCAAACACGAATGTCATTACCCAGAGCCTGGGTGCGTTAGTGAGGAGCCAAAAACCGGGCTGGGGAATTGGTTTCCATTAGGGCAGCAAAAAGCTAATTTGGCGGCTGCGGCTGCTGCGCATAAGGGGCTGTTAACTCCCTGCGCCCCAGCCCAGTCTCCCGCCCGCTCCCGCCTTCTGCCACTGGCTTCTCCCTTGCAATTGCCTCCTGCCTTGGTAGCTGTGCTTGCCCCAGGGCTGGCCATGGAGCCAGCTTGCTTCTTCACCAGGTTAGGGAAAAAGCTGCAGCACCGGTGCCTGATGGAAGTGCTCACTAAGGTGACCTTCATCTGTCCTGGCTGTCCCCACTGATGCTTGAAGCCAAGGAGAGCCATGACTGCTCCTTCCTGCCCTGTGGGGGCATCCACTTGCCTTAAGGGCATCTTAGTGCAGATGTGGGGGGAGCACAGCCCCCAGCATAAGGCTGCTGCATGGCATCTCTCCCTTTATCCTTGTTGTGCTCCAAAGCAAAGGCAGTGCTGGCTGCTTCAGCCCCCCTGCAGCTCCCAGGGCTTGGCCGGGCACTGGTGCGTGAGGGCTGCAGCCTCAGCAAGTGTTGATGCACCATATCGATCCCCAGAGCCTCTGCGCAGAGGTGATGGAGGAGGAGGAGGATGGCTGCTGCCCTTCAGCTGCATTTGAGCCTGTACTGATGCTGCTGGGAATGGTGTGTGTGTGTGTGTCCGTCCCTGGGCTGGGGGTGCAGCTGCATGGTGGTTTGTGATCACGGGGGGGCTGTCCCTAGGGCAGAAGCCTGACTGTGTCCCTCCGCAGGGCAGAGCGTGCGACGGCAGTGCTGCTGGCGGATCCCTGCTTCCAGCTGCGCTCCCACGCTGAGCCCTCGGCCTTGGCAGCTGCCACCCCAGCCACTGACAAGCGCCATTTCTCCCTGCACACCTGTAAGTGCCAGCCCTGCTCTGGGCCCTGCGCTATGCTCACCACTGGCCACAGCTGCGATGGGCAGAGCAGGGCTGCCCCTGTGACGTGTCCCAGTCCCCTTCTCTTAAGCACTGGGGACAGGGGTTCATGGCCCCCTTGCTGTTCCCTGGCAGTGGCACTTGGGATGGGGCTGTGTCCAGTGCCTGCTTTCAGCAGTTTTGTCCCTTCGCAGTGCCCAGTGTCCATCTTGCTGCCTCCAGCATGGGGATCCCTGTCCCCAGCACCAGGCTCCCTGCCATTGCTGGTCCCAAAACCAGCAGCCTCAGAGGCACATGTGTGTGTCACATTCACCCCACACACCCAGTTTGTCCCCACAGACACAGATTATATCAGTACTGAGGAGTTGGCGAAGGTGGACAAGATGCTGAACCACCTGAGCGAGGAGTCCAAGCAGGCAGCTGCCACCACACTGGTGAGTGCCCCAGTCTGCTCCCCATGCTCAGCAGCAGCCCTGGCTCCTGGCAGAGCTGCCCTGGGATACAGGGCTTTTGCTGCTACTGTTAATTGCCGGGTGCCTCCCACAACAGCCCACCAGCGAGGAAGACCTGTGCCCTATCTGCTACGCACACCCTATCTCAGCCATCTTCAGACCCTGTTCCCACAAGTCATGCAAGTGAGTAGCTTCCATGTGTGACCCCAACACCAGGGTGACTGCTAGCCCCTGCCCCCTCCCACCGCTCTCCATGCTGTGATGGGGGAGCTCACACTATGTCCTTCTCTATCCCAGAGCCTGCATCAACCAGCACCTGATGAACAACAAGGACTGCTTCTTCTGCAAGGCCACCATCACAGGGGTGGATGACTTCACCAAGCCAGCCAGCTCGTAGACCTCAGCCCCACACCATGGGTTCCCCGCCACACACTGGCTTCTTCCCAAGTACTTGTGCTCTTCCCCGTGCTTGTGGACCACAGCAGCCCCCCTGCCCCATGGGCCGTTCTCAGGGAGGGGAGCCCAAGGCCTCAGCTCTGCAGCAGTACTGGCAACATGTGGCAGTCCCAGGCCAGGGCAGGGGGCTGGGCTGGGTGCTCGGGCTGTTACCTTGCCCCTGGCTGGGGGCCGATTTTGTGAAATGCAGCATTAAATTATTGTTCCTTATGTGATGTGACCACAGCAGCCCCCCTGCCCCATGGGCCGTTCTCAGGGAGGGGAGCCCAAGGCCTCAGCTCTGCAGCAGTACTGGCAACATGTGGCAGTCCCAGGCCAGGGCAGGGGGCTGGGCTGGGTGCTCGGGCTGTTACCTTGCCCCTGGCTGGGGGCCGATTTTGTGAAATGCAGCATTAAATTATTGTTCCTTATGTGATGTCTTGAGATAAGGGGCGGGGAAGCCAGGCCAGCGCTGGGGAGCGAGCCAGTGCTCAGGCCACGCTCAGTAGATAGAAATATAAATATTTAATCCAAGCCGGGAGCACAGAGCCCAGTGGGGGCTGCTACATAATGATGCGCGGCTCCGGCACCGACTCAGAAATGGACTTGTGCGGCAGCACGTTGGCTCCGTTGAGGTAGAGCTCGTCGTTGACGATGACATCCTCACCCAGCACTGTCACGTTCTCCATGCGCACCTGCCCCAGAGAGGCCCCGTCACACCTGCCCACAGGCACCAGTGCATTCCTCCATCCCACCATCCGCAGCCTGAGGCAGCAGGAAGGCAAGAGCTGAGCCCCAGACTCCCACAGGGGCACCCGCATCCTCACCCATTGCCCCACGGAGCAGCTCCAGCCCACGATGCAGGACTCCAGCCAGGAGTGGGAGCGAATGCGGGCCCCCTCCAGCACAGTGCAGCGCTTGATGCGCACCCCATCCTCCACCACCACGCCAGCCCCGATCGTCACGTTGGGGCCGATGACACAGTTTGCCCCACTCT